CATTTACCACAACCCTAGCAGAGGTGAAGAGGTCATCCAATACCTTCCACATCGAGCCCGTGATGCCTGCTTCCGCTAGCTTAACTAAGACAGCATTCCTCCAAGCTACATCGAAGGCTTTACGGACATCCACAAACCCACAAAATGTTCGCTTGCGTCGCCGCAAACGTAGAGTTTCGGCTAGGGTGTAGACTTGCTCTACGGCACCCCAACGAAAGCCCGCCTGAGTTTCATCAATTTGCGGTGCAATGTGAGGCAATAACCGTTTCAATACAAGTCTCTCGAAAATCTTCAGACTGCAGCACAACAAACTGATGGGCCGGTAATTCGTGAACTCCTCCGCTGAGCCGGACTTGTGCAACGGTTAGATGACGGCAGTCCGCCATACAGATGGGACGATTGCCCAAGAGCGAACAAGCTCAAAGAAGCACAACAATGCCGCACGAAAGATATCATCGTCAACACGGAAAACTTCATATGTCAACCCATCCGGGCCAGGTGCGCGATTAGCGGGCAACTCTTGCAGAACTTGCAACAGTTCAGGCTCCGAGAACGCGAAATCGAATTGCCCGGTGTTTTGGGACATAGCTTCTCGCAAGTTATGCAGACGCTGCAACAGATCGGGATCATCATTATCACAGGGCGACACAGACGGGGCAGCAGAGGCAGGGACATCACGAAAGTGACAGCGCCAAGCATCCAGGCATGCGTTCCCTTCCAAACAGCCTCTCTCGGGCGACGCATTACGCGTGCAATGTGGAAGGGAATGCCTGGCGACGCCCAGCTGCCTACGAACATTCCTTGCGGCAACGGCAGGGTGCGACACAGCCATGCGCTCTTGGGCCCGCAACCACGTATGCCAGAAACGTGCTTTTTTCTTACGGACCAAGTGATGGAACTGTAACCTTTTCGCCCTAAACGCTTCTTGCGCCTCAGGCGTGCGCTCACGACACCAACGACGCCAAGCAGCATTTCGACCAACCATAACGTCATAGCATTCATCATCCCACCAATCCGGTTGAGGACGCCGCCGCGACTTGTTCGGCGCCGGACTTGGGGCAGATTGCCACAGCATGGACACCAGCCCACTGTACAACACATCAAGTATGGCACGGTGCAAGGCGACAGACGAGCACAGAGCCTCTCGCAGCAGACTCATGACCTTCTCAGACCAGGTTAGAAGACTAACGCGCATAGAACGCACAATGGGCCGCCAGTCACGGACTACCGGCCAGCACGGCACAACATCCTCATCTGACGTAGGCGTCAGTGCAATCTGAAAGGTGATGAGCATGTGGTCGCTACCGAGCACCGGGCAACAACACCCTTCAGGGCATGCGCACGAGCTCCCATCATGCACGACAACATTGCGAATGGCAAGTCCACGCGAGACCAGCACCAGGTCAATGCTAGAGCCGGAACGATGCGTTGGAACACCAACGGGATTTGCTATCTCAAGCTGAAAATCAGCACAGATGCCACGAATGAGCTCACGAAGCCGGGGTTCGCCAGATCTTTCGCGTTCAGACCCCATAACTTCGCCCAAGTAGACGTTGCAATTCCCAGCTAAAAGCAGTTCACATCGCGGATAAAGTTGTAAGACTTCTTGGATTGAAACACGAAGATCGCTCCAAATGCCACACGTTGCGAGATTGACATACCTACATGCGGGGCATAAAAGCTACAAACCAAAACAGGGGAGCTGCGATCAGGGGCAGGCGCAAGACACCTCCAGCGAAATCTAGATGAGGTATTACGGGACGAGACCGGCCATGAAGGAGATGCGTTCTTAACAAGGAAACCGGCTTCGCAACCATCTATGCCTTGCGGCCCGTCATAGACAAACGGCTGGTCAATCGGCAAAGCGGCGCCAGGCGGGTTTTTCTCGTGTGCATTTGTTTGATGTAAATGCGGAGGTTGCAATGATATGCCAGATAACTAGCAGTGTGTTGGAGGTTTAGGGTGGAGGTGCAGGTGCAACCTTCCCGGCAACCCGAGCTTGTCAACCCTCAGCCGTGTCCCAGTGTGCGAACCAAATCCTACGCCGGCACGTTGAAGGCGGGGATGCCGAAGCGTACGCCGAGATGACTTCAAGGCCCTTCCCCAGATTAAGCCTTGTTCGGCCTGTACGATTGCCTTCGGGATCCGCTCAGGGGTTATGGGCCTCGGGATCGAAGCGGATGGGTTGGGCTGCAGCCCCTCAGCCCGAAAGTTCTAAAGCCCTGAAGCCTACACCCGAATCTCTCGAATTTTGCACAGCAAGTGCATGCATTGTTCTGGGTGACCCGGCTGATTGAACCAAGGAATCTGTGAGTCCCAAGAGCCGTACAATTACCCCAAGCACTCGGAAGCACCTTTCCCTCATAGTTCGTTGAAAATGCTGAGAGGGAGAGATATGAATGCCCGACGCACCGTTCGAGTTTTTGAGGCTTTCAGGCCCGTGCTACAACCCCGACACATTACCGTGATGAGCAGGGAGTCCAAACCGGTCAACGCCAAGGAGAGGCTTCGATAGGAAGCTCGCCATCAGAAACACTCTCCAATGCCAAAAAAAGGTCCGAGGTTACGAGGTTAGGGGTTAGGGTTGGCTTAAACTGGCTAAGGCCCCATTGCAGCATCCAAGAGTTACAAACAACCCACCGCCGCAAAGACACGCAAGCTCTACAGACTCTGCGCCCTACAATCGCCGATGGCCGTCATAGCAGTAGCAGCTTTGAAATGAGCCATGCTCTTTCGCTATTAACCGTTATGTCAAAACCCCAAGCTTTCAAGCCTGACCTGCGTCCTCGTCAGGAACTATCAATCCTGAACTTCTGCAAATCCCAAAACTCAGAAGCACAACGGCAAACGGCTTTGTTCATGAAGGCAGCAGGAACTGCGCTACGACTTCCCGGCGCTGGGGGGTTTCCAGGCTGGCTGGGGAGTCGGATTCAGGGGTTTAGGCTGACAGGATCTGCCAGAAACCAGACATGTTGGCCTGGCTCGAGACTTGACAAAGCAACGCGAGGTCGCTCTCCAGGCTGCGACCCCCGGGCAGCCAAGTCGCACGCGGCGCCGCGTGCGCGCAGCCGCACTGCGAGAGCAGTCGGAGCTAAAGGCACCCGAAGCTTTCGCCAAAGCGGCTTAGGGTTTCGGAGTTTGGGTTTAGGGCTTAGGAGTTTGTGAAAGTTTTGGGCCTTACATTGTACGAGAGATTGCAGAGTTCATGGTTAGGGGTTCGGGTTTTGAATTTCGTTGAGTTGAGGGTCTAAGCTCTTGCTTGGGTTTAACTCTTCTGGGGTGGCCGTCCACGAACTGATTGTCAATAGCGTTACTGCTGCTGCGACTAGGGGGAGGGGTGCAGTAGGTTTTAGTTGGAGTTTTGCAGGGGGTTGTGCAATGTGGAGAGCTATGCGAGTGAAGGCTGGTTTCTGCGCGATTAGGAGTTGATGTCCTTCTCATTCTGTTTGCAGCTAGGTGAAGTGAGAAAGCACTCGCCGACGTGACCCACACAAGTACTTCAATCCCTCGACGTGTGGCCTCGCTCGGAAGCGCAGGGAGACCCACAGCGAGCAGATGGAGGAACTACAGGAGACCCGACAGCTTCACGGTTTTCCGAGTGCGTATGCTAGTTGTCGGCCTCCCGTGTTTGCCGTTGGGAGAGGCCTGTGAAATGTAGCGAAGCCAGAATGGGCACATTCTTCTTTAATGTTTATTGTTGATTGTGTCGTCCGAATCCAGAGCGATGGTAGTCATTTGCGGATTGCGAAACAGCTTCAAGTTCTACTTGGTTGAGGCTTCATTGGCTGTTACAGGAGAAACGGGTTTTGGATTCTCGACCTATTCAACAGCCGAAATTGCACAAGCCGTTTCAATCCGTTCTAACTCTAAACCACTACAGTCCTCAGTCCTAAGCCCCGCAGCTAGTAACACCGACTAGATTTGCTTGGGCAGGGGTAGCCCTTGTTTCTGTCCGGCTGAGTCGCTGCAAACCAGATGCAACAAGGAGTAGCGTTGTGGGAGGCCTCCTTCGTGCTGGCCGAATGGCTATCCAGGCCACTTGAGGAGTAGAAGGTGTGCGGCTGAACGAGATGAAGTTGTTTCGGGTGAAGGAAGATTAGCTTCGACATGAGTAATAACTTGCATTCCAGTATCTCAAAAAACTGCTCAGGTGCAGAGGCAGCTGTTGTTGACCCGAAATCCGAAACCGTCCGAGCTGTTAGAGTGTAAGCCTTTTGGGCTGCACCTTGTTATGCTCTTGAGGAGCGTGCGTACTCTGCCTGCCACAAGATGTGCCAGAAGTATGTAAATTTTCCTGTATGTCAACTAACACCCTGCCAAGTGGCTCGCTCAGCAACGCAGAAGGCAAAAACAACCTTTCGGCCAAAATACCGCAACATATGTAGAAGTAGTGCCGGAAAAAAAGTCAGGAACTTGAGGGGGCTTGGTTTAGGCTACGGCTAAGGTTTTATCTTGTGAGGATTTGGGATGGACTTTCCGGCTTGGGTGGAGGTTTTTCAGGTTTCGGTTGCACCTGTGACTAAAGTCCGCAAAAAAGAGCTTCCAAAAACACACCGTGCCGAACTGAAAGTGTCAGCGCGGTGCCAGAGATCGATTTTGAGACCATATTTTCTTTGTCACACGTTCAGGACCACCCGAAAAAGTTAACCTTAGCAACACCTGCGAAAGCTGCCCGCCCGAACAAACTATGTGTTTCGCTCGGTTTTGGCCATGCGACAGTGTCGCATTGACAAAACAACGTGTCTAAACGCAGTGTTCCTTGCAAGCGCCGCCACCTTGTTGGTTGTCGCTCAGTCCGCATGAAAGCCTTGTGTCAGATCTCACCTCGTCAGACCATCGTTGGCTTGTGCGAGTGCGAGTGGCCCCTCAACCCCCAAACCCTGAATCCTAAACACGAAAACCTTGTAGCCTTCGAACAGAGGCAGGGGGACCGTCACGGCTGTCTACTGGCCTGCAGTGCCCTGCAGGACTGTAGTTCCTGCGGCGTTCGAGTTTTCGGGTTTATCTTCGGGACAAGAGTTGAAGGCTTTCGAGGTGTAGGGTGCAAAAGTTTGGACTCCTAAGACTTGCTGACAAAGGGACTGAGTATGCGTGAGAGAGAGAAGGTTCGGGGTTTCAAGTCGGTTCTGGTGTAAGAGTGCTTCCATGGGTTTGCATCAGATATCAGGTTGGGCGATTGCACCAGTCCAGATGCAAAAAGATGGTTGGACGCAGGAATCAGGACTTGTCAAAAGGTTGGCAACAGGACTTAGAGCACGAAGTTCCGTTTGAAGGTACTGGGGCTTCGGAGGATGGCTTGGTTGCCTTGCCATTTTGGGGCATTGCGGGCTTCCAGTCCGAACCTCTGAGTACCCGCCATCGTCCATCACACGAAAATGGACTGAAGTCGTGAGCCGAGCAGCTGCAAGATTAGATTGGAGCCTCAGCTTCTTTCCACAGGGTGCATTTCAAAATGGTTAGTATCTCAAGCTCGTCGTGCATAGTCAAGCTGAAGATCCTTACAGCAGACACCGGCTTGACAATTTGTGGTAGTTGTGGCACAGAGCAGGAGCTGCTGACGGGAGCTGGCAAAGCAGAGAGAGCCAGGCACACCGTCAACGATGCATATGGCATATCCGAAGCTCAGAATCGTGTCCATGAGCAAGATCTGGAAGCTCTCTTGTACTGTGATGTCGACCTATGCAGTGACAGCATGTCAACGTCAAATGTCATGGCACCCAGAGCCTCGCCCCCGACGTCCAAACTCACCGAGCCTTTGCTCAGATGGCGCAGATGGCGCGGCAAGGCGGGTCCGCGGTGTTTTTATGCAGTTCACCAGAGCGCGCATGGCCGGACAGACGAAACTCTATAAGTTTATAACTCTACAGCCAAACTTCCACCTCCAGCAGGAGTTTTGGGATCCGTTGTTTTGGGGAGGCAAAACGACTTAATCAACAAACTTGGAGCCGCAAAACCCTAGAGCCCTGAAGCCCACAGCGGCCCCGAACCCTAAAACCTTCATCTTACGTCTGTAGGCGTGACGGCATTATGAGGATCCTTGCCTGCTGCGTGCGAGACTGAGAGTCGAAAATTTTCATCTTCAAGACAGAGCCATCATGCAGGTGGGGGTGGAGCTGGGCGCTGGCCTGGGCACCGCCCTTGGATCGGTGCCGGTTTGGGGCTTCGCCTTTCGAAAAGCACTGGCCGGGCCGTGGTCAGGACAGTACAAATATGCTCACTAAGGAGGAGGAGCTGTACTCAGATGTTCATGTGAACAGGACTGACAACAAGCAGCAAAGGCTTCGGCCCAGAATGCAGCATTTGGGGCTTGAAGGGCTTTCAAAGGGGGCCTCAACTTGGGCTTATGGATAGGAGGTGGTTTTGAGGGGTCACGAAGTCTTAGGCTCAAGCTTGCGCCCTCCGAGCTACTTGCGACTGGCACAACTAATTAACTAATTCGGTCGACTTAGGGACATAGTCGCAAACAGCATTGCCGCCTTATCTGCCCTTAACCCGGAACCTCAAACTACAACCCTAATGTTGTTGTGAGACGCACGTGCGAGTCGACACCACCACCCCGTCACTGCATGTTTGGGTATGCCCCGGACCGCTCAACCCAGATTGGGCCCCGAGGGTTTGGGAAAGGCCTGCCGTCGATCGTTGCCTCGCAGCTGGGCGCCCATGTCGTGGCAACGGACTTTTGCGGGTCTCGGAGTCGGGCATGAGATCTGATTCTGAGTGGCTTGAGCTCCCAATGCACAAACCAGCACACGCGGCTGAATTGCAAGCTCATGGCATAAGCCCTAGCAGCCCTGAGCCGAAACCCTTGAATACCCAAACCCGAAATCACCAAACTCATTCAGCCTAAACCCCTGGTTTACTCCAACCCATGAATCGGCTGATCATGCGAACGTTTCATGAAAGTGGTCTCAAGCTTCCCAGGCAGCCTCCCTTGAACAGTACCCCGTATCTGGGCCGTTAGCAGGAACCCTGTATCCAGTAATGAGGCACCTCCGTAGCAACTTCATCCGGAGATGTTCGAGGTTCCGTTCTGATATTTATATATGCGTATGAGTCGAACAGCCTTGGATGTGTTTCACTTCAACCGGCTATCCCTCCATTTTCGACTTGCAATTCTAGTCCAGGGTGGGCACCAAACATATTGCTGCGCACTATTCCTGAATCCCCCTTATCCTGAACCCCCACCTCTGAAGCCTGAACTTGACGTGAAGACCAGGACGGCGACGCCTCTGTACTGACGCTGCTTCGGCGGAATGTGGAGGAGAACCGAGGATCAGGCCAGTTCTACCGGGACTGCCGGGTTTCGTCAGCTCCTGGTTTCAGTTTTAAAGTTTCCGGATCGCTGCGAAATGAGGGTGATCTACCCCGGGCTTTTCCTCAGGTTGCGTATTAGTGATTATTAGTGCCTACTACTGACTACTGAACCTCCTGAACCAGCTTAAGTTCCATTGGGAATGATATCGGGCCGGAGCAAGAAGCTCCCAGGCGCAGGCTGATGGTATAATCGGTAGAATGTAGTTGAGGCCGAGTTCTGTTTCCTTAAGTATTCAAGGCTGGGCTTGCCAGTCTCGGGTTTCAATTCTGACGTTGTCTCACCCAAACCCCTAAAAGGCCCAAACTGACCAGAAACCCTGAAGTCTTCGCCCGCCTCAGCCACTTCCAGGCGCCTTGCGGGCAGAGGCGTTGCTGTGGGGCTCCGAGGCGCGGGGGTTCAGGATCGCTTTGAGCATGTCGGCCTCAGTCGGTCCTAGTCTGGCTAGCGGCTAAAGGGGTTTTGAGTGTGAAACTTGGGGTTTAGCTGCTCAGGGTCTCAGGTTTGTTCTTCAGGTTTAGGGCCATTCAGGGCCCAGACGTTTCGGTTTGCAGAGTGGGGTTCAGGGTGTTGTCAACCCAGTGTCCGCACTAGCACATGCGGAGATGTTCGGCGAGCAAAACATGCCGAACTCATGGATGTTTAGATTGTGTCGACCGCGAGTGCTAAGCATGTTTAGATTGTCGATGTCACGTTTTCAACCCTATCACCATGTGATGTCTTGAAGCCTTCTAGGTAATCAAAAAGTCGAGATCAGCGTGTGGCCGCTTTCGGGCTTGAGGTTTGAAGTCTCCGACAGACCCTGAATAATACGAAGCCCCCAACTTCTAAGTCAGAACTCCCGAGAACAGCTAGCCCTTCATGCCGGTGAAAGCCTAAGAGACTCAAGAGGTTTTCTTTGACAAAACCCTGAAACCCGAAGCGTGCTTGGACCCAAACCCTAATCATCCCAAGCAGCCCCCCCAAAGCCTAAACTCTTAACCCCAATGTTTGAAATGGCTACAGTTTCGGCTCGAGTCTTCCCGAGTCTGTCGAGGTTTCCCTAGTTTATGTCCCGCCCCTCTGAGGAGCCACACACTCTAAACGTACGGATTGGCCCTGGTACCTGGGGACCCCCACATCCTAGAGGGGTTGAAGGAAGGAAATCGAACATGAAACCTGCACCTGAACAGTTCGTGCTTCCCAACGTTGGTGGTGCTCCCACGGGTCACCATGCTGCACCTCATCCTGCTGCAGGGACAGGTTTCATTCCTCTCTCGGGAAAGTTGCCTGATAGAGAGGGACCTCCTTGTGCTGCCTCGCATCATAGTGTTTTGGAACAAGGGCGTGGAAGAGCTGACTCTAATAGGGCGGCCGCTTCTGAGTCTAGTGGAGCCAGAGAAAGAGAGCGGAGCAGAAGGACTGAGAGAGTTTCTCGCCGTGTTGAACAAAGAGATGCCAGCAGCAGAGAAGTCGAGCTTAAGAAGCCCAAACTTGAACATGAAGCTCCTGGCAACGCTGACGAACTCATGGATGCAGAGACAATTCCATTAGGACCGACTGCTCCCGTCTCAGTAGCCAAACCACATGAGCCTACTATTTTTGATCTTACCCAAGCTGACGCGGAAGATGACTGCCCTGAGCCGCCGAACCCTAAACCCTATGCTGCCGAACAGGAGATTACTGCCCCAACTCCCCACCCAGGTGCCCCTGCCCCTTGTACACCTTTACATGAATTGGTCAGACAGAATGGGCAGATCCCTCCCCCCTGGATTAATGAGCTGCTGGGTTCCATGGCTTCACTGCACAGCAAGCAGGACAAAACACATGAGGATGTTCTGGCCTTTGGACATGAGATTCAGGGACACTCGCTTCGCCTTGACACTTTGGAGCTGGGGATGAAGGAACATACCAACAAGCATGAAGCTACTGAAAGTAGAATCGAGGTCCTTGAGAAACAGATCCGAGATATTCAGCGTCAACGACAACCCTCTAGATCGCCTACTCCTTCCAGACAGGGGACCCGTAGCCCCCGGAGCCCCAGGTCCCCCCACTTCTCCAACGTCCCAACCGTTGAGCAAAACAGTGAAGTAGATGACCTTCAAATTGTCGTTGGGGGATGGGTTGACGTTAGGAAGAGTGATGCTTTCGAAGAAGTGAAGAATATGCTACAGGCTGTCGGTATGCACAATGTTGCTGAGGACTTTTGGGCGCCTGCATCTAGGACCAACTTTGTACGCTTTTCGCTGAAGTTCCCCGACCCGGGGTCGCACATCTCAGTCTTAAGGCAGTTTCAGACGAAAGTCATTGCTGCTCTTAAAAGCAAAACCTTTAAGAGTGGTATCAGCGGGCAAAGCCAGTGCAGACTTTGGGCTACCAAGAACAAATCCATTGATGACAGGGCAAAGATCCGTGCCTGTGTCCTTGCCAAGATCTTTTATGAATCCATTCCTCCCTTGGATGCAGACATCGTCTGGAACGGGGGTAGGGTCTTCCTTGATCATGTACAAGTTGTCTTCCACATAGACAAGAAGGAACCTGCAGGTGGCGATGTCTTTCTACCTGACAACAAAGGTAATCATATGGAATGGTTTCTGTGTGCCCGAGCTTTTGAAGCGGCCACGGGAAGGCCTGCAGACTCGCTGCATGAGTGTTATACTCAGCATGGAGGGGCTTCAATCAAAGCGGATTGACAGGCAAACATACACAGTTTCACGCAGCAAGTTGGAATATCCAGGGCAAAACACTCTTAAACCTGAGTGATACTTGGGACATGCTCCATCTTGATGGTTTGAACGCCCTGGGGCTCCAAGAACTGGGTGGTCATGCTAGCCAAACAGAGGAGTGGAAGCTTCACGACATCAAACTTGATGGTATGTGGGGATTCTATGTCGCCCGCCCCCCCAAGGTTCATCATGCTGTTGCCATGGGCTTTCCCGCTCACCTTCTCCCTCTAGTCACTGAAGTCTGCGTGTTCACTGTAGGGATAGGTGTACTCCTTAAAGGCGAAACCTCTAAACAGTTCTTTGTCACCGCGCATCTTCCCCATAAACAGAGGGAAGATTGCATTGAGATGTGGCAGTTGTTTCAGACAGAGCTCGATGCCTTTTTGAATTCAAAGAAGATTGCATGATTCTTTAATTCTCTGCATGGATGCCAATTATGAATTAGGAATTTCGGAATTCAACGGCGCAATTAACACAGTTGATGAACGTGGCCCCATCAGTAATCTGATCATTAAAAGTCATGGCTTGGAGTTCTGGCAACCTGACGATTTTACCTGGTCCAACTCCAGGGGATCCTGTTCTCGTATTGACTACGTCCTTGCCTCTCAGCCTCTTGTTTGTGAGTCTTATATCAGAGTGGTTCCTGATTCGGACATTCTTCTGGGGTCGGATCATAGAGCAGTACTCCTCTCTCAGCGGTTAAGCCCTACTTGCGCCAGTAGACCCCAACATCGCGTTAGACACAGATGTGGTAAGTGGATTGTTTCCCCCGATCTTGCGGTTGCCTCTTGTGAATCCCTCGCGGAGAAACTGGAACTTGATATGCAGGATTTGTCTAATGGGCTGCTTGCAGCCGCAGCTAAGACTTGTTCCTTTAGGGGCACCTCGTGTCGATATAGGGACCCACCCCACATCCGTTCAATGATTGCTGACCGTCGTCGACTTGCTGGAAGTGAGGCACACAATCTTGGTAAACAAATTGTCCGACTGCGAGCTGTTGCCAAACAGCAATGGATGACCGAACTTTTGGATAGAGGCGCTAGTGGCGACTACCGGGTCATTTCTTTCTTCAAACGACGCCAATCCTCTTTGGTCACCCATTGCAATTACTTGACCCGTGCTGGTGGGCGCACCAAAGCGATCTGTGATTTGAAGAGGTTCTACAATGTCAAGTATTCAGCCCCAGAACTAATTGACCGGGCCCTCCCCATCCAGATGTGGAGGGCCTCTGTCGGACCCACTTTGGCTCCTCGTCTCATCACTGCTGAAGAACTTGAAACTGTTCTCAGTACTTGCAAGAAAGGCAAGTCGTGTGGGGTTGACGGGATCAGTTATGAGTTTCTTCAAATCGCAATGCAATCGGGTTTAAGAGATCACCTTGTCGAGTACTTCAACAGTATTCTTCTTGGGTCCCAGGAACTTCCCCTTGATTGGTTACATTCCAAAATTACTTTTATCCCCAAAGTTGTTGCCCCCTCTGTTCCTAAGGATCTACGACCAATCGTGTTGTCCTCTGTCCCCGGGAAAGTTTTCACAAAACTGTATACCGACTAAGGGCTCATTTCCCGGTAATGCAAGCGGGTCAGCTAAGCAGCGTTCCTGGTTCCCAGACTTTAGAAGGCTCCTGTACTCTTCAGCAATGTATCCGGCTCTCTAGTGAATACCATCAGCCTTTGGTGGTTGCTAAGCTTGACATTACTAGTGCTTTTGACCACCTAAGTCATTGCGCGGTCTCCCGTTTCTTTGAGAACCTAGGAGCACATCGAGAGGCAGAACTTTTGCTTTTAATTATTATCTATTCTTCTGTTCTTATTAGTATGGCTGACTGTAACTGGAGTCAGGATCTTCATAGGGGAATACTTCAGGGGTCCTCTTACAGCGCCGAAGTCTTTGCCCGAGTCGTGGACTTTTACTTAGGCACTATTGTCAATCTCTGGCAAGAACAGGAAAGCACGTGGTTGCGGACTGACTTTGAGGACCCCTCTTCTACCAAGCTTTTTAATATTTTGTTCGCGGATGACCTGGTGCTACTTGCCACTAGCTTTGTCCAGCTTGCGCGCATGTTGAAGCAAGTTAAGGACTGTTTGCAGGTCATCGGGCTCTCCCTGTCCATCGAAAAATGTCGTGTCTTGTCTGCTCCGTTCCTAGAAGTTGAACCTGTTTTCCTTGACGGTGTTCAACTCAAACATGTTTCCTCCTTTTTGTTTCTTGGAGTCTTGGTTGGTTTCGGGGTTCAGTGTCAATCCGTTCTTAGCACTAGGTTGACTGCTGCCACTAACAGCTTTTGGGGTCATTTCAAGCTACTGAAACGGCCAGTCGGGTCGATTAGAAAGAAGTTGCATTTGCTTAATTCATACGTGACATCCAAATGGAGATGGATGAGTGCATGCGTCAGGCCAATACAGTCGGTTCACCAGACCCTTAAAACCTTTCATACCTCTTTTCTTGGCTCTCTTTGTAGGTTCTCCTCAGACCCTTTTATGCCCTTAGCGTATAATTGGATTGTCAGAAGAAGGGCCTCACGCATGACCGCACAACTTTTGGGACATGCCAGATGGGAGGGCCTACACGCCCAGGCTTTCATGCGCTTTTGGGGTCACGCAGCCAGGATTCCCGAGAGTCGCAAATCTCCCATTACTGTTATCCTTGCAGTAAGGAATGAACACTGGTTGTCTAGGTTCGGA